AGCTTCTACAGCAGCAGCAGCAGCTCCTGGTACCTCTCCGAAGACTCCGACAGCTCCTTCAGTGAGGGGGCCCCCAAGGCCCGCTCCAGGGGGGCCCCCGGGGGGCCCCCCAAGGGGCCCCCAACCCTTTTAGCAGCAAAGAGGGAAGCTAGGCGCAGGCAGCGAGAGAGCAGCAGCAGAAGCAAAAGAAGCAGCAGCAGCAGCAGCAGCAACATGGCTTCCATGGGAGCTTCTTTCCGCGCTGCAAGGGGGGCCCCCAGGCAAGGAGCACTCAAAGCAGCAGCAGCAAGAGGTGCAGCAGGGGGCCCCCTGGACTTTTCACTTCGTAGAGAGAGCACCAGTGAATCTGACAGCGAACGGTAAACCCTAAACCCTAAACCCTAAACCCTAGGTGCGAAGTGGTTACATTCGCTAGTTAGCAAGAAGGAGTCCATTGCAGCTGCTGCAGCTTCCGCTGCTGCTGCTGCTGCTGCGGCTGCTGCTCTTGTCGCTTCTGCCATTCTGCTGTTGCTGCTGCTGCTGCTGCTGCTGCTGCTGCCGGTCCCACTGCCACTACTGCTGCTGCCTCTGTGACTACTTCCCCACCGCTGCGGCCGCTGCTGCTGCTGCCACCTCTACTTCCCTACTCCTGCCACTGCTGCTGCTGCTGCTGCCACTGCTGCTGCTGCTGCTGCCACTGCTGCTGCTGCTGCTGCTGCTGCTGCTGCAGCTCTACGAGCGGCCTGTCGAGCTCTTCAGCTGAGGACTTCGACGAATTTCTCTTTTGGGGTTCTGAAGGGCCTTTAGAAGGAATGCCAAAAAAGAGGAGAAAAAGGAAAAGAAATCGTAAACCTGCTGCTGCTGCTGCTGCTGCTGCTGCTGCTGTTGCTGCTGCTGTTGCCGCTGCTGACGATTACGGTTCGGGCTGCACTGCTGCTGCTTCTGTTGCTGCTGCCGACGTTGGTGCAGCGTTGGTGCTGCTGCTGTTGCTGCTGCTACTGCTGCTGCTGTTGCTGCTGCTGCTGCTGCTGGCGATTCGGTAGCGGCTTTGTTGTTGGTGGTTGTTTTGCTGCTGCCGACGCCTTTGATCTGCTGCTAGGTCCCAGAAGTTAAGGGATGGTCTTTAAGGGTAAGAAACTAGGTTTTAGGGTTTAGGGCCTAGGATTTAGGGTTTAGGGTTTAGGGTTTAGGGTTTGCGCGTTTGCAGCGTTTACTGGGCAGCGCCAAAAGAAGCGCCGTAAGAGGAAAACTGCAGACACTCCATCAAACCTCACCCCAGAGGTGGGTCAGGGTTTAGGGTTTAGGGTTTAGGGTTTAGGGTTTAGGGTTTGGGGTTTAGGACTTGCCCCAGCTCAGGGGCTTCTGTATTCTGCATTCAACTGTGTAAGCCGATGATAGCTGCTTCGCGCTAGGGTTAAGGGTTTAGGGTTTAGGGTTTAGGGTTTAGGGTTTGTGTGCGCAGCTGCGGGACCTGCTGCGGCAAGCAACAGACCTTTATTTGTCTGCTGAATTTGCTGCTGCTGCTGCTCTTCTGAAAGAAATAATTCGAAGGGCCCCTGGCCTCCACGACCCTTTTCATCTTCTCGTCAGTCTAGGGTTTAGGGTTTAGGGTTTAGGGTTTAGGGTTTAGCGTTCAGGGTTTGGGGTTTGAGGTTTCGGGTTTGGGGGAAGGCATGGGTAGGCCGTGCGCGCTGCTGCTGCCATTGCTGCTGCTGCTGCTGCTGCTGTTGGTCCTGCTACTGGTACTGCTGCTGTTGCCGCAACTGCTGCTGCCATTGCTGCTGCGGTTGCTGCCATTGCTGCTGTTGCTGCTGTTGCTGCCATTGCTGCTGCTGCTGCTGCTGCTGCCGTTTATGCTGCTGCTGCTGCTACTACTTGAAGCCATCCGTGCTGCTTCTTTTTTGTATCTTTGTGCAATGGCGGGGTGGCAGCAGCAACAGCAGCAGCAGCAGCAGCAGCAGCAGCTATGGCTGGGCCTTGTCAGCAGCAAATGGTTGTGCGTCTACGAATTACTCTTTTGCAAGTCATTTTCTTTTTAATTTTTCTTTTATTTTGCTGCCTGAGTCTGGATTTAAATCTTTCTATTTTTATTTACTCCTATTTATTTTCGTTTATTTATTTATTCGTATTTTTGTTTTTGTTTTTATTTTCTTTTCAGGGTCTTGTCTTTGAAGAAGGCTACAAAGACAAAAGAAGGGCTCTTGACTGCTACATCTTGGCCGCGCAGCTCGTCAGCTAGGGCTTAGGGTTTAGGGTTTAGGGTTTAGGGTTTAGTGTTTAGGGCTTTTGAATGTATATCATCCAGTTAACACGGGCGCGCTGGAGTCTTGACAAACGGCGCCCCTGCGTGCGCGAGGACCCTTAGGGTCTAGGGTTTAGGGTTTAGGGTCTAGGGTTTAGGGTTTAGGGTTTAGGGTTTAGGGTTTGCGTGCAGGTGGGGAGCGACGCGCTGCTGTGGAGGCGCAGCGGGAACTTGGCTGTGGAGTTGGGGGACTTGGGAGCAGCAGCTTTTGCATTAAAGAATTGTTTAAAGTGTTTAAAAGAAAAAAAAGAATTAAAAGAATTAAAAGAAGCAAAAGAATCAAAACAAAAAAAAGAAGCTTTTCCAGAAATCCAGTCCGACTGCAGCAGCGCAGCAGCAGCAGCAGCAGCAGTAGAAGGCCCCAACAAGAAGCAAAAAGAATTTTACAGAATTGCGCAGGAAGTTGCCTTCCAGCTCGCTCTCGTCTACAGGGAAACCGTGCCCAAACCCTAAACCCTAAACCCTAAAC